AAGAATATTTGATTTCTATTGTAAAAACACCGAGCCACGAGTGTGTTCAGCTGTTATATCTGCCAAAGGTGGACACTTTCAAGAATCAAAGGTTTAGAATATGTTTTGGTCAACAGTAAATAGTAAACAGTAAAAAACTGGAAGCTGTTTGGTGTTCTAAAACTTTGTAGTGTATGTGGTTACAAATATCTATAGCACAATTGTTTTAAGTCTATATAATGGTTTAATAACTTGAGGGTTTATGAAGTTTCAGAAACAGATTTAAATGGCCCATATAACACTATTTTCTGCACTTCAAAAAGTAATATCTAGGTTAGCTGAATGAGTTAATTTAAGAATGTTTGCCTTTATTTGAGTCGATTCAACTTGACAAGTAAAATTATCTACCAATGGAATAAGTCTGTTTTTCTTAATTCAAGCAGCGACAGATTTAATGTCTTATTTTAAGTGCAAAGAGTTGTTGTTTTTTCTTATCGTAAGTGTAACAAGTTGTATTTTCATATTTTAAGTACTAAACGTCTTGTTCCACTGGCAGATAATTTTACTTGTCAAGTGAAATTTACTCAAATCGTGATGAAACGTTCTTAATTCTAGTCATCTTAACTTGGCTAGATTTTATTTTTTGCAGTGTACTCTATGTTATAATGTTTCCTCTTCAGAAACAGACCTGAAGTTGTGTTTTGTTTAACTCACACATGTCTGACTCACGAACCCTGCATATTTAGGTTCTTTCAAATGGAAAACACTTTGTTCCACCTTGTGATGTCATGTGGTAATACATGAAGTGCTCCACTGTGTTTTTAAACACACACCAAATATCTACACCTTCACTAGACTCATTCTGGAATCGCCAATCTCTACTGAACTAAAGGTAAAAGGTAGCTGTTTACTTAAAAACTACCACTACACAGTGTTGGGAGTGTTATAAAAGTAATAAATTACTGTAATGCATTCATTTTTGCTGGTTCAGTCCTCAATATAGTACTGGTTTAGACCTGGTTTAGACCTGGTTCATTTCTGGTTCAGTTCTGGTTTAGTCTTGGTTTAGTCCTGTTTCAGTCCTGGTTCAGTCCTGGTTCAGTCCTGGTTCAGTCATCATCGGTTTAGTCCTGTTTCAGTCCTGGTTCAGTCCTGGTTCAGTCGTCGGTTTAGTCCTGGTTCAGTTGATATACGACGCAAAAGTTTGGCATCTTCACTCGGTGATTGTTATTTGACAATAAGTGACAATTATTTTGGTGAGAGTAACTTAAAAGTAATGCAGTAGTCTTGTAATGTCTTACATTTTAAATGCAGTAATATTGTAATACAATGAATTACTTTGAAATGACAGTAACAAGTAATAACGCATTACAGTTTTGAAGTAATTTGCCCAACAATGCCACTACACAAGCTTTATTTCACCTTTAAATAGGTTGTGTTCACTTGATGTTGAGGGTCTGGTTTGTGGTTATATGGAATTATCCACGTGGAGTAAATCAAATGGAACTTAACACTAACAATCAGCTCTTTCAACTAAACTGCATACATGTTCAAAAAACTGTGTGTGTGCTGCCTCCAGTGTCTCCTCTGCAATTTCAAGTACTATGTGACATCACGCAAAGACTGCCCTGATTACAGCCAGGTTAATACCAGTTAGTAGTGTTGTAGTCAAGACCACACTAATCAACACCAAGACCTGTCCAAGAGCACAGGGTCCCGAGACCAGGACAAGACCAAGACTTTACAAGACCGAGAGCACGGCCCATCGAGACCAAATTGAGACCATCTTTGTCATTTCCTACATTTATTTGTATTTTACAGTTATATTTTTTAAATATAAATCTATCTCCATTTTATCTGATTAATGTTCATTTAGGCTTAAAACAGACCAAGCAAACTGAAACACTCTGCGCCCCTTTTCTGGACCCTCACCCACAGTTTGAGAACTCTTTCTTTAATCCCACTTCCACTGGTACTTTACAGAAAACAACTTCAAAGTGAATCAAGTGGGTTTTTTCAAGTTCATAACATTTACAATTACATTATCTTACTTTTTTTTGCAGTGATATTTAGCAGTCTGCACATTTACCAGCTGTAATGAAATATGAACGCACTTGATGAGTGTCACACCTCGAATCCGAAACAAGACCAAGACAAGACCGAGTCCAAATGCAATGCACTTGAGTCCGAGACAAGACCAAGACTGTAAAAAAGCGGTCTCGAGTACTACAACACTAACAGTTAGACCAATCACACTGTTCCTCATATGTCCAGACCCCCCTTCACTCTTTTCTTCAGTCCTCCAGATACTGCACAGTTCAGCAGCTCTATTTGCAATGTGAGCGCGTGCGCAATTTGGCCGATAATGTCTTTGTTCTTCTGTAAAGCACTTTGAATGACTTTGTGTACGATTTGTGCTCTACAAATAAACATGCTTGCCTATGTACTGAAAATAAAATCAAACATTAGACCTTACGAGTACCCTACTTCTTGTGTTTGCGGATTGTCTTCTCAGCTCTGCCTTTAAACCAATTTCCTTTGCTCCACTCTACCCCACTGTCACCAGGATCATTTGCACTGTGCAGTACTCTGCTCTGGTTCACTGCACCAGCCCCAGCAGTAGGCTATCTCCAGCTCCTATTGCTGTCACTGCCATGGCCACCTCCTGTTCACTACTGTGTAACTGACTGCTTGACAGACAAATATGTGGCATCATAAACAAAACTCACCATGGGCTTATTCTGGGAGCAGGATCCTGAATAAGTTATGGCCTTCACAGAATTCTATGACCGAATTGTGTCAAAAAGTTTCCTTCAGTGTGTACTAGCGGCTCTAGTACTTCGATATAAATACGTAAATGTGTGGTGAGAAAAACATATCATTTAAACACAAATTTGACTTTGAATTTAAAGCAATTTTAGAATGTTGTTATCTCGTAAAAAACATACCTGGAATTATGTTTTCTTTCATGCACACTTGTATCTTCATCTTCTAAATCAGGCATGTTCAAACTATTTGCCTATATTACATTAAGCAGTACTTTTTGAGTTTTTGATAAACTTTGATAAAGCCAATATCGTATATTTAGTGTGTCCTATTGAAGATCTAAACATGAATAAAGGTCTGGTGGGTCCTGTTATAAATGCACAAACTTGGATTATTCATCAGTCTGTGGCCCTCAGTTGGCCCTTTATCTGTGTGTGTCAAAATGGTCCTTGATTAAAAAAAGTTTGGACACCTCTGATCTAAATCTCCAAAGCTCAGAATTCTCTTT